AAATAAACTAAAAGAAATTATAAGCACCAATCCAGCATTATAAAGAATATTCAAACTGCACACAAAGGAACTAAAAGACAATTCCCAAAGCTCCCAGAGGATGTTCAGTAAAGTAATAACCCACCAAATGATAATCAAGACAGGATAAAATACAGCAAAATATCAAAATGGCAGGAAACCACAAACACATATCCATACTAACGTTGAATGTTAATGGTCTCAACTCCCCAACTAAAAGACACAGATTAGCAGAATGGATCAAAAAACAAGATCCAACAGTATGCTATTTACAAGAGACTCATCTTATAAGCAAAGACATCACAGGTAAAAGGAAGGCAAAAAATATTTCATGCATACAGACCACTAAAACAAGCCAGAGTAGCTATTCTTACCTGACAAAGCCGATTTCAAGCAAATATTAATCTGAAAAGACAAAGAATGCAACTACAACCTAGAAAGGGAATTATCCAACAAGAAGAGATAATGATCTTACACAATGCCCCACAAGTTAATACACCCAATTAAATTTTCAAAAACTTTTTAAATAAAATAAAACCTCCATGAAACTGAATAAATCCCACATAGACTCCAACACAATAATACTGGGTAATTTCAACACACCCTTACTACCAACAGACAGGCCATCAAAATACAAAATTAATAAAGATATCTCCAACCTAAATAATACTCTAAATCAAATGGACCTAATATATTTTTATATTATTCCATCCCAAAACTGTTGAATTCATGTTCTTCTCAGCTGCACATGGAACTTTTTCTAAAATACATCATATTCTAGGCCACAAAACAAGTCTTAGCAATTATTTTTTAAAAATCAACATAATTCCATGTATCTTATCAGATCATAATGGACTAATGCTACAAATCCGCAGCTTTGTGGTAGAGCTCAGTGGTAGAGCACTTGTCTAGCATGTGTGAGACACTGGGTTTGATTCTCAGGACTGTGTATAAATAAACAAATGTTTAAAAAGAACCATCAAAAACTTTTAAAAAGGAAAATAATAGAAACTACATAAACACATGGAGATTGAATAATATTCTCTTAAATGAAGGGTGTATCAAAAAAGAAATGAGAAAGAAATTCTTAGAAATAAATAAGAACAGAGATATAACATAGCAAAATTCTTGGGACACTATGAAAGAAGTTCTAACAGGCAAATTTATAGCACTGAATGCCTATATTAAAAAATTAGAGAGATCCCAAATAAATAAGATTATGTTCTACCTGAAGGCCTTAGAAAAAGAACAAATTCCAAAATCAGTAGAATATAGGAAATAATTAAGATCAGAACCAAAATCAATGAAATTGAGAATAAAAAATCAATACATAGGATAAATGTAACAAAGAGTTGGTTCATTGAAAATATAAATAAGGTGGACATACCTTTAATCAAACTAACCAAAAGAAAAGAGAGTGAAGACCCAAATCAACAAGAACAGAGGTGAAAAAGGAAATATCACCACAGACCCTTCTGAAATCCAAAGGATTATCAGAATCTATTTTGAAATCTATATTCCAATAAACTGGAAAATCTGGAAGACACTAACAAATTTCTAAGCCCATATGACCTGCTCAAATTGAATTATAAAGATACAGAAAGCCCAAACAGACCAATATCAAATAATGAGATTGAAATAGCAATTAAAAGCCTCCTGAAAGAGAAAAGCCCAGAAACAGATGGATTCTTAGCTGAGTTCTACCAAACTTTTACAGAAGAACTAGCACCAGTCTTTCTAAAATTATTTCATGAAATTGAAAGGGAAGGAACACTCCCAAATATATTATATGAAGTAAAACCAGAGAAAGATGCAATTTCTTTCCTCAGTATTCAAGAATTTTCATTGTAAAGCTCTTTATCTCCTTAGTTAAATTTCCAAGTATTAAATTTTTTTGAGGTTATTGTAATGGGATGGTTTTTCTGATTTCTTCCTCAGCTGAATCAACCGTTGGAGTATAGGAAAACTATTGATTTATGGGAGTTGATCTTGTATCCTGCTACTTTGCTAAACTCATAACTTTAGAAGTCTTCTGGTATAGTTTTTTTGAGTTTTCTAGATATAGTGTCAACAAACAAAGATAGTTTGTCTTTTTCTTTTCCTATTTGTATCCCTTTGATTTCCTTTTCTTGCCAAATCACTTTGGATACAAATAGGAAAAGAAATTGAAGAAAACCTTAAAATATGGAAACACATCCCATGTTCCTAGATAGACAGAGTCAATATTATAAAAATGACCATACTCCCAAAAGAATATACAGATTCAATTCAATCAAAATACCAATAACATTCTTCACAGAATTAGCAAAAATGATTCTTAAATTCATTTGGAAGAATAAGAAACCCAGAAGAGCCAAAGCAATACTAAGCAAGAAAAGCAAAGCAGGAGGCTTCACAATACCTGATCTGAAATTATACTAAAGAACACTAGTAAAAACAAAAACAAAAACACCACAGTATTGGCATAAAAATAGACATAATGACCAATGCAACATAGAAGGCACAGAGACAAATCCGCATACCAAAAGCCATCTGATATTTGACAAGCATGCCAAAAATATATTTTGGAGAAAAGACAATCTTTTTAACAAATGGTGCTAGGATAACTGGATAGAGTAGAAAATGAAACTAGATCCTTATCTCTCAACTTTCACAAAACTCAAATCAAAATGTATCAAAGATTTAGGAATTAGACCAGAAGTCTTACAACATAGAAGAAAACATAAAGTTAATGCTTTATCATATAGGTGCTGGCACCGAGTGCCTTAACAAGACCCCCAAAGTACAAAAAACAAAACCAAGAATCAATCTGTGAGATACCATCAAACTAAAAAGCTTCTGTATAGCAGAGGAAATAATTAAGAGCATGGAGAGAGATCCTACAGAATGGGAGAAAATCTTGGCCAGATACTCCTCCAATTGGAGATTAACACCCAGAATATATGAAGAATTCAAAAACCTTAATATAAAAAAAACCCTGATCAATAAATAGGCAAAAGAACTAAGTAGAAACTTCTCAAAAGAAGAAACACAAACAGCCAACAAACATATGAAAAAAATGTTCAACATCTTTAGCAATCAGGGAAATTCAAACTGAAAACACATTAAGATTTTCTCTTACTCCAGTCAGAATAGCAATGATCAAGAATACAAACAATAATAAATGCAGGTGATGTTGTGGGGGAAAAGGTATACTTATACATTGTTAGCAGGACTGCAGACTAGTTCAACCACTCTGGAAGGCACTATGAAGAATCCTCAAAAAACTAGAAATAGAACCACCATATGACCCAGTTATCCCACTCCTTGATATTTTCCCAAAATATCTAAAATTGGAGTGCTACCATGATGACAGCAACTCAAAATTTATTGCAGCACAATTCACAACAGATAATTTACGGAATCAACTCAGGTACCCATCAGTAGATGAATGGATTAAAAAACTGTGATTGATTTTATATATATATACATATATATATATATATATATATAAATAAATACTGTGAGATACACACACACACACACACACACACACACAATGAAGTTCTACTCAGCCATAAAGAAGAATGAAATTATGGCATCTGCTAGTAAAAGGATAGAAATGGAGAATATCATGCTAAGTGAAATAAGCCAAAGTCCAAAGGTCAAATGTTTGCTCTCTTATGCAGAAGCTAGAGTAAAATAAAAGAAAGGGGGAGCACAGGATTGTATAACATAAAGATATAGGGAAAATCCGTAACGCAGAAGGAGATCAAGAGACAGACTTGGTGGCACATGCCTGTAAACCCAATGGCTTGGAAGGCTAAGGCAGGAGGATCATGAGTTCAAAGACAGGCTCAGCAACAGAAAGGCACTAAGCAACTCAATGAGACTCTGTCTCTAAATAAAATACAAAGCAGGGTTGGGGATGTGGCTCAGTGGCTGAATGCCCCCTGAGTTCAATCCCCTGAACCCCACACCCCGCCCCCCCCCAAAAAAAGAGAAAGAGAGACAGACAAAGTGCAGGGATAGATAAGGGGAGGCAATGCAGAATGAATTCTTTAAAAGTCATGTTATGTGAGCTGGGGTTGTAGCTCAGTGGTAGGATCCTCAGCAATATATATATCTGTAAAGGTATCGTGTCCACCTACAACTAAAATTTTTTTTAAAATCATGTTATGTGCATATGTAAATATATCACAGAGAACTTCACCTTTATACATAGGTGGAAAGAACCAACCAAACATAAATCAAGAGACAAGTGAAAGGAAGTGTAGCAGAGTAGAGGAAGGAATACGGGAGAGGGGAAGGAGAACGGGAAGGAAAAGTGGAAGGGATAAGGGAGGATTATAAATTGTGATCAAATTCCATGCATTTATGAGTTTGTAGAGATGAACCCAAACACTAAGTATAACTATAAAATTCTAATAAAATAAAGAATTAGAAGTAACATATGTAATGTACTTTGGCATATTATGTGCCTACCACATAACAAAACTCAATATCCTCATCATCCCTCATTATAATATAGTTTGAAGAAAATGTATCAGTGTGAGAAAGTTTAAATTCAAAGCTGAAAAAAGTAAAGGAGAAGAGAAAGATTAAAAAGTCGTCAAAATGAGATTATCAAAATATTTTTAAAGCAATGGACTATTATCTATGCAAAATAAAAGCAAATAAAAACCACATTTTCCAAAATTGTGAAAAATGACAAAATAAGATTGTTAAAACTAGAGGTATGGTGGTTTTTTAAGCAAATTTTCTTTCTTGATTATTGGTTGTCATGCAAGGTGGCTAGGCTAATGAGTGGCATAGAAATGGCATTTGGGGATACTAAAAATCCTTATATATAATCTACAAAGACTATATTACACATATTGATAACTGAGCATTCACTGTATAATATATAACAATCAATTTTTTTCAAATAATTGTTAAAAGTATATTTTTCATTCATTTATATAAGAAATCAAAATGCAATACAAAAAATATATAAAACATACCTCTGATAAAAATGTTTGGGCCGATTTCTGAGCTCCTACATGGAGCAGATATTCATATACATAGAGTGCTAACCTGGAAAATGAATAAAACATTTATTGAGAAGAGAAATATGTAAAATTCGTTCTTTAAATAATGAACATCTTTCCATTCCACAGCAAAAATATTTTATATACTGCCACAGCAAAAATATTTTATATGCTAACAGTGAAAGAAAATAAATCCTTCCTGTTCAATTTTAATGGGAATTTATACATTTATGTTCAGAAAGAATTTAAACTAATTAAAACAGCAAAAAATGAAAAAGACAAATATATATTTTGGGGTAAAGAAATATCTAAATATGGATTTTTCTCTTTAATCATCTCACTTATCAAAACCTTACTGCTCATTCTATACTTAATAATTTATAGATAAACATTAATAAGCTCTTAAAGTAAAATTCTTTTATTGGTAAAACAAATAAATTAAGTTATTTCATTTTTCCAACAACTTATTTCCTTCCATCTTTACGGTAAATACTAATGTAAACCCTAGTTGTGTGCAGAACCATATGCCAAAATTTGTGTTGAATTTCCACTTTTTTAGCAACCTCTCCTTATTGTTCAGGTTTGATTGTTAGATCAATTAATTTTTTAGTCTATAACACATTCAAATTCATTAAAAAACTACAGCATTATGTAAACTTCAAAAATAACATCATATTAAGTGTGTGGGCATTTACGGCTTAAAGGTTAATACAAAATTACATATAAATTTATTGCTCAAATATATAATATTGAGTGTGTAGTATACACTTAACACTACTCTTACTATCTTGTGGATTCAGTGTTTTTAAGCTACACCATGTGGCTCAATTTCAGTTGAGCTGTTAAAATATTATTCATAAACCCAAATTAGTCTGAGGCAGTATTTTTAATGATATCTTGGACGGATGCCCAGATAGCTCACAACAGTTCAGTTTCTGCTACACTATATTTACCAATATTGGGTTGGGTTTACAGTAAACAATACAATGTAACAATAACCACAATTCTGTATACTGCACCACTTCTCTTGCCAAGCGAATTTTTGATTGTTAAAGATTGATGGCATTTGCAAAAGTGATAATGTTCTTCATTTTCATGACAACATATCATGCATCTGTTACACAAAGAAACCCAGTGCAAAATAAGGTGCTCTGTCCATGTAATTCTTTCCTCATTCATTTTCCCATTTCTTTTCAAATTCAATAACATTTCCTAGATCAGTACTTCTCAACTTTTTTTCCCTACCCTAACACATATGATATGGTTTTTGCTGTTTTCAGAAGCTGTGTCTCCCAGTGGAAGTGACTCAACCTCAGAGTGCATCAGAAAGGAGACAAGAATCTGAATGCCCCTGTAGTTTCAAATAAATATTTCTGCTGGTAATTCTTGGCACACATTCTTCAGATATATACCACACACCTGCCTCTCCACTAACCATTCCCACCCTATCATCCTATTCACTGACCATCATGGCAAATTTTACTGGGAAAGAAAAAATTGTAAAATCTTCCTGACTAGACTATAAAGCCTCAAAATTGCCAGTGGCAGTGCTGCCCTACTGCCCAAGTGAGAAGAAACAACTTCAAGTAATTCCTTGCAGTTTGCAAAGCCTTGGGCCCAGAAACTAATCAATGGTTTACACTACAATAGGGGTCTATGTTAGAAACAAAACAATAAGGTTGTTCCACCAAGTTTGGGAATTTGAAAGTAAGAGACAGAACGAAGCATGATCACCATAATGGGACTTGGGAAAGAGGACGGACATCAGAACAATTAAGGCATAGCACAATTATTGCTGTGTCCTTTCAATAAACCCCATTACTTAAAGTCAAGTGAGTTACTTCTTACTTCTTTATAATTTGTAATCTCTTCCTTATGATAGTAAAGTCACTAATAAATTTCTTCTATTTTTCCTATTTAAAAAACAAAAATAATATCTAATTACAAGCAAAAAATATGGATTTTTCTCTTTAATCATGTCACTTATCAAAACCTTACTGCTCGTATACTTAATAATTTATAAACATTAATAAGCTCTTTTATTGGTAAAACAAATGAATTAAGTAATTTCACTTTTCCAACAATTACAAATACAATTACAAGCAATAATCCCCACTTTCTTCCTCTCTGGATCTAGGCAGTGAGTCTTAAAGAGAAAAAAAAAATGTATTGGAAAAGGCTCAGAATCAATAGGGGAAAGGGTTTCAAATAACATGAGACTCTGAAGCACCTTCCCTGGGTGTATGCCCACTCTGTTACCTTAGAATCTATACTGTGGTAGCTCATCATTGCAGACAGGGTGATAGAATGGAACCAGGCTAAGAAAATCTATCTATAATGCCACCTCATCTATCTATGTTTTGCAAGCTCCTCTGAACAAGATTAATGCTTCTAGATAGTTAGGACCTATCTTCCAAAAAGAGTGGCAGGAAACAATGCATGGGTGAACACCTAATTAACTCTACTGCTGTGATGACTCCATAACATAACCAGCAATTCTCCGGTATTTTAATTATCAACTCTGTGCACAGAATTTCCCAAACTTATCCCTTTCACTTTATCCTCTGTCCCAAGTTCCAAATCTGCTTCTCCAAATTACTGTGTGAAGTTTCTAACAAGATGTTTCTCTCTTAAAATTGACCATGTCCAAAATTAAATTCACTTTCTTTATGTTTTTATGGTACCTATGTTTACTTAGGCAAAATACATTTTCTCTGAATCTCAGTTTCCTCATTTGTCAAATAGAAAGAATAACACTTTCCTTGTATTGCTAAAAGAATTAGTACATTAAACAATAACAATTATAATTTCAGTTATCCTACATCCAATAATGTATTACAAAGTGATGTAATGATTTCTAATGCCACAATTTCTCCCACATTCAACATTCCTTTCTGTCCCACTTCCTGCTCCTGAGGAACTCCACACAGCAATAGCAAGAGCTATCAGCTTCAGCTACAAATGCTATGTACTTATATTAGCTCCCCACAACAAAAATCCTGAAGTCACCAGAAATTAGAATGTCCAGAAAGTTCTATAAGAAAAACCCTGAAGTAAAAGATACTATTTGAACACAAATGATTTCAGGAAAATTGAAAGTGACATTTTTCCATCCATGCAGTTAAATCAAAGCATGCTCCCTTATCCAGTGACATAAGATCACCAAACATAAGAAGGTAACATTTTATTTGGATTCAATTTCTACTAAAAAGGGAAAAATTTTAGATAAATGTTGAATTTACTGATATTTAAATAGTATATACTTTTGAATTAATATTTCTTTTTCCTTTTTATGATCTTTAGAAATTGAAGTACTTTTGATAAAGTATAGCTAGTCAATCTAATAGCTTATAATATAATCTAAATACATAGAAAAATTAACAATCATATGGTGAGAGTTGATAGCAAAAAACAGACCCAGATCATCATCATCTTATCCTCTTTCTCCTCCTCCTCCTCCTCCATTATTGTCACCACCACCACCACCATATTACACTTACTAAAGAAAAGGTATATCTGATTCATGGGTCATACATCTTCAAATTATCTTTATTTCATTCTATTTTGAACTGCATATCAGTGATTGAGTTATCAAAATCATGGACAAAAATTTGAGAAAGAAAAAAAACAAAGACAGAAATACAAAGTATATCATCTGATATAACTCAATAACTTCTTTATTCCCTGGTCACCACAGGTGCCTAAGCTTTAAAGGTAGATATTAAAATGAGAAGAACATAGAGAGGAGCCAAAAGGGAAGTCCACTGGGAGCTTCCTCTAAGTAATAATTACATTTGACTTATGCAAGTTATATACACTAAACTTACTATCTTTCAATTACTCACACATGCACTCACAACTACATAGTACACAGAATGGAAAATCAACAATGATAAAATACCACAATTCAAATTCTATCAATTTCCAGTCAAACAGAGCCAATCTCCTTCAACTAGTCTTCAGTAATTCCAAATCTATAATTTTGATTTATAATTTAAAATTGAATAATTTAAAATCTACAGTCTAACCTTGTGATCTATTAAAAGAAGAATGGGGAAATCCCACTTAATTTTATGTGACACATGACTGTAACAAAAATGAGATTTGTTATATTTTAAATTTACAATTAAAAGAGGATTAGAGATGCATGAAAATTTTTTTTAAATGTCAAACATTAAACAGCTGACTGCCCCTTCAAAAATCATATAAAATTAACACCAGCCTGCGTGGGACCCAGGCTCACAGTAGGCCCAGTCCACTCCTCCACCAGCTGGGCAGATACCTGCCAGAACCTAGCCTCTTGTGCAGGATTGCCGCTTCCAACCAGCAGGCTACTCTAGGCCAAGCCCACAGGCCCACATCCACCCATGCCAACTTGCACAGGACCCAGGTCCAGGGAAGCAGTAGAATACATTGAGTGACAACAGCAGGGTCTGGAAACCCAACATCAAGGTGAGGTACAAACAATCTGCACAGGTAGTACAAGAATATAGGGAAAAACTGTAATATCTCAGATCCACAATGCAAGAAAGGAAGACACATAGACAACATGAAAAAACAAAGGAGGAAAGTGCCCCAAAACCAGGACACTATAATAACAGAATCCATGAACAGTGAAGTTGACGAAATGTCAGAGGAGTTCAGAAGGTTCATAATTAAAATGACCTGTGAATGACCTAAATGAGCAAATACAGGTAAAAATTGATCACTCCAACAAAGAGAAAAAAAAGAGCAAATAGAGGTTGCAAAAGATTACTTCAAGAGAGAGATAGAGACTCTGAAAAACAAACAGTGAGATATCCTTGAAATGAAGGACACAATAAATCAAATTAAGAACTCAATAGAAAGCATAACCAACAGACTAGATCACTTGGAAGAAAGAACGTCAGATAATGAAGACAAAGTATACAATATGGAAAATAAGTTGGTCACACCGTGAAGACAGTAGAAAACCATGAACAGAACATCCAAAAATTATGGGACAGCATCAAAAGACCAAATCTAAGAGTTATTGGGATAGAGGAAAGCACAGAGTTTCAAACCAAA